TCTCTCTCTCTCTCTCTCTCTCTCTCTCTCTCTCTCTCTCTCTCTCTCCATATATATATATATATGCACACACATATCTGGGGGGGTATAGTCAAGTTGACAACCAGAAATAGTCATCACAAGTACACTTCTTGTCAACTTGACACAAAATTATATCTCATTGTCATGATTAATTTTCAAATGAAGACAATAAACAGATCATAATAATGCCTAAACACAATATAGCTATCATATGTACAGTCCCAAACACATTATGTATTTAAACAGGTCAAAATTATACCTAACATGATATAACTATCCCTCATATAACCACAAACACTGTAAATTTTGAATAGGTGGCAATGTCCCTTGAGAGACATTCTTTTAGTATCTCATACTTAAATATGATAGTCATTGGCATGCTCTTACATGATGTGAGACCACATAATAAAGAATGAGAGGAAAGGAAATGCCAATTTCTATACGAATGCATTCTTAACAAAATACAATGGAAACACTCATGTCTACTGCAATTCTTGCTTCTGCAGCATGTCACATGGTCTCAGCTGGTACTTATAGCTACCTTCTTCTAGTGCTCAGTCTGTGTTTCATCTACTCTGGGCAAGAATATCATCAGGCTTCGACTCTTTTCCTGCAGAAGTGACCCATCCTTCATTCCTGGTAGATCTGTGCCCTTTGTCATCCTGCTGTTGTAGTTTCCCATTGACTTTAATCACAACACACAGTAGCACCTAGAAATTCCCTAAGGGATCTCCTGTAGTCCAGATAAAATTTTTCTTACCTCCATTGTAGAAAAACAATCCATTTTTTCCATGATACTCTGGATCAACCATTCCTCATACCACTGTTATTCCTTTCTTAGTCTATTGGTTTAAGGGAATTAGATGCCCAAAGTGGCCAGGGGGGAGTCTGAGCTTCCAGTTCAAGGGAATATTTGTTATGACTCCTGGAAGGAGCGTTCCTCCCTCTGGAACCAAAACTTCTAGGCCAGCAGAACTTAAGGTCAAAGTCACAGGAACAGAAAGCAAACATTTTTCTAGTGGGTCAGCAGGGGGGATAGTGAGTGAAACTATTCTTTTTTTCCACCCTGTGATTTCTTGGATGCTGATTTAAAGCATATACCACCTTCTTCAGAACCCTGCTCCACCCAGCCCTCTAGGCTGCTGCCACCTAATTTGTGCTGTAACTGTATCTTCAAAAGCTCATTTCATC